GTTTAATTAAAATAACTATCATTACCATTTGATAATATTTTTAAAGTAGTTTTTAAAAATGTCTTGGTGCGTTATAAAACATAAGGGAGTAATATGACAAATAATTTTTTCAAATTACATTTTTTGTTATGTTTATAGTTTTATAAAAATTTAATTATGTTATATAAAACATTTAAACAAGTTAATCAAAGCTAAAATGTTCAAAAATATTAAACATCTAAAACTACTTTAATTTTGACAAACCTCTGTATTTAATCCAAACTCTGTTTTTAAAATGGCATTATTTCAACCTGTCAACTGAAGCATTAGTTACTTACCGTAAAACTTTGTTGTGAATTTTCGTTATAAAAAAGGGATGATTTGATTTAAAATTGTTTTATGTATGTATTAGGATTGCACCGATGCATTGGCTTGGCATCAGTCTTGGTAACCATCGGCCCATGCCAGTTGTTTAAAAAAGTCAGTTTTTTTAATTTTGTGTTTCTATATTGTATAAAAAAGTATAATAATTATATTTTTTTATGCAATATAGAAACAAAAAATTTAAAAAACGGACTTTTTTAAACTATCAGCACCGGCCAACGGTTACCATGACCGATGCATCAGTGCACCCCTAGTATGTATGTATGTATGCATGTATGTATGTATGTATGTATGTATGTATGTAATATAGCTTTAGTAGCTATGATTGATTTAGATTAGTAATCAAGAAATATGTTATATATATATATATCTATATATATATATATATATATATATATATATATATATATATATATATATATATATATATATATATATTATATATATATATATCTTAAGCTGAGAACCAAGAGGCCGTATGTTCACATTTTGTGTTTTTTCTGTTTATTATTAATAAATATTCAACAATTAATGGGGTATGTGTTCAATAAATCTAGTCTCAAGAATGATACAAGATTTTAAAATATTTAAAAAATTAGTCGGACATTCTGGCAGAAAGTCTTTACAAATTTACTAATTAATTTTTAAAACTTGATTTTCTTGGAAACACAAAAAATGGACATATGGCCTCTTGGTTCTTGGTTCTATATATATATATATATATATATATATATATATATATATATATATATATATATATATATATATATATATATATATATATATATATATATATATATATATATATATATATATATATATATATATATATATATATATATACATATATATATATATATATATATATATATATATATATATATATATATATATATATATATATATATATATATATATATATATATAGAGAGAGAGAGAGAGAGAGAGAGAGAGAGAGAGAGAATATGTAACATAGCTATAGTAGCTATGATTATTTTAAATTTATTTTTGTTAAATGGTTTTAGCTTCTGGTTGTGAGATTATATGTAAAGAAGATGGTAGCCTTAATTGTGTGTTGAGGTGTGCCCTTCATATAACACAATATCTTCCTGAAAAAAGCAAGTTTAACTTTGTTGCAGTGGTAAAGTATTTTTTGTTTGTTTTGTTTTTAAAATTATTTATTGTATATTTGAAATTATTGAGTGTATATAGAGCAGAATAATAGTCATTAATTTTTTTAAATATAGAGTCTTGGATTGTTGATTAACCTTGTAGAGCACAGCCAACAGAACGTCAGTTTTTTAAATGCTACATTTTCACCTGCTTGCTGTGAAAGCCAATCAAGTGAAGACATAGACAATTTTACTGCAGTAGAAGCGCTTATGCAACTTTTTTTGGTACGTCTAGAAATGTGCAAAGAAGGCGATCTTATGGAGGAGCTTGACAAGTTAGAAGATGAAAATCGTAAGTCGTTGAGTTGATATTTCTATTATTTTTTTAACAAGAAAAGTTTTTAACAAATTTTTTTGAATCTTTTCCATGATTACATTTATATAATATTAACATAAACATTTAAATTAGAGTGAAATTTATATTACTACATAAACATTTAAATTAGAGTGAAATTTATATTATTGCATAAACATTTAAATTAGAGTGAAATTTATTTTATTACATAAACATTTAAATTAAATTCATTTAAATAAGAGTAAAATGCACCAAATTTGGAGAAAAAAATTAATGAAAGCTTAAATTTGTTTAAGTAGTTTAGGATAGTAAAATTAAAATTTTTCAAAAGTAGCTACCAGTGACGGATCCAGGATTTTTTGGTGGTTAAGATAGCTAACTTCTGGAAATGGAGCAAATTCCAAACATTAGTATACTGATACTTATTTCAAATAATGAGGCTGTGCAAAAAATTGCGAAGATTGGAGGCTGGAAATGAAAAAGCCCTTTGACTTCATCCCCCCACCCCAAGCGTAAGGGCAGCAAATTGGTAAAAAAAAAATTTTTACTAATCTCAATTAGACTTATACTCATTGATAAGTTTCAAGTTTCATAATATTATCTCTCAGCGTTCAAAAAATATGACCATCTAAAATTCGTAACCCCCTCAATTTGAGGGGGTGTAAACTTTAAACGGTCAGAATTTTCGAACTCTAAGAGATAATACTATGAAACTTAAAATTTATCCATGAATATAAGTCTAATTGAGATTAGTAAATAAAAAATTTTTACTAACATGTTGCTCCTCAAGTTTAGGGTGGGGGGAAATGAAGTCAAAGGGCTTTTTTGTTTCCAACCTCCAATCTTCACAATTTTTTGCACAGCCTCATTATTTGACATAAGTATCAACATATTAATGTTTGGAGTTTGCTCCATTTCCGGAAGTTAGCTATCTTAACCACCAAAAAATCCTGGATCCGTCACTGGCAGCCACAAATAACCATAGTAACCAATAGTAGCTGCAAGTAAACATTGTAAAAATGTGTCAAAATTTTATTTTTATTAAAAGCTCATTTTGAAAATTTACTAAAATAATGCATTCTAGTTTCTATGGTGGTTTTTCAAAAATGATAAAGTAAGTAATAGCAAATATTCTTCAGAAATATTTAAAAGTTGCATTCTAAACATATGATTGGAAGTATCATTACTTTATATATAATTTTTCTTAACATTACCATTTATTATTTTCTGACTGAGTTAATGCAAAAGGCAGTAATGGTGTAGTGATGTAGCGCTCTGTTCATAAGCAAGACATACTGAGTTCAATTCCCATCATATCTCTGCTAGTACCTTGATTAACTAGTTTTTCAATGCAACGTCATTGTCAAGGTTTGTGTATGAGGATTGAATGAGGATTGTAGCAATGAATAAATAAAAAGTTAAAAAAATAAATAGAAGTTCAACCTTCTTGCCTTAGAGAAGTGAATGCATAAAAAAAAATTTCTGTCCAATTATTAAAGATTAATTGCTTTTAAATTTCTTTCATATAGTTTAAAACATTTTGTTATGTAATAAAACTTTAATATGTTTTTTTTATCATACATATTATAATTTATTAAGTGAATACTCCCTAAATAATAAAACTATTAAAGTTTTTTTTTTTTTTTTTTTTTTTTCAAATTCTTATATTTTTTTAATTTTTTTTTGGCAGGTGAAAGAGAAGCAGCATTGCATTATGAAGATGATGAGTTTGCTCTTGTTTGTGGTGATCGCTTTGATGATACAGTTATTGAAAATGAAGAGCAAGTAGTTATAGAAACTGAACAACAAGCAGTTCCTCAAATGCAGTTTAAATCAGATGAAAAAAAACCAGAAAAAATTGTATCTCGTCATGGGACTTTAAATGCTTCCGAAAAACAAGATATACAAAACAGTACGTTTTTTCTACTGCATTTCATTATTATTTAGTAAAACAATAGAGATACATATATAAAATTCTGTAACTCTCATATTTAAGGTGTTTCTTTTTTTTTTTTTGCAATTATAAAAGACATGAATGATATTTTTAGTTTGTTTTTATAGGTTTTGATTTTAATATAGATGAATTTAAAATCATCAGAATTTTTAATGTTTGCATTATTTGTTTGCGCTTAGCAAAAAAAAAAAAAAAATTTCACAATTTCAGTTAAGCACAATCACAGTTAATCTAAGTTTAAATCTAAATAAATTATTTACCCCATAAGACTTACTAATATAAAAAATTTAAGACTTAGTAATATAAAAACTTTAAGACTTAGTAATATAAAAACTTCCAGTATTAATCTTAATTTAAAATTTGAGTTTTTTATGTTAAAAAAAATTTCTTTGACTGTTTATTTAAAAAAATGATCTTTAACAAAGTTGTTTCTATGGTTTCTATGCTTTTTTCCTCTTTCAGTATTGCTTGTTTGGGATCGTCCATAAATTACGTAACAAAATTTCACAATAAACAAAACAAAAAAAGGTCAAAAGTTTTTCCTCACAGAGTGTTAATTTGAATAAATAATCAAAATAGGAAATTTTAAGTTAAATGAAAATCCCCGCATAAAAGAGCTTAATACCTCCTACTTCTGTTTTTAAAATATTTTTGCGTTGCGTAATTTATGGACGATCCCTTTGCATTTTTTTGCAAAATCAAACTGTATTTAAAAATTATTATTAGAAAGAGGATTTCATGATTAGGTGAACTAAAGTTCAAAACTTGATTAAAATTTGTAACTTGATTAAATTAAGTGTAACAATTAATAATAAATCTAAAAATAATTTCTAGTTAGTCAGCTAAAATAGTTCAGCTGACTAACTAGAAGTTAAAAAAAAGCTGTCTAATATTTTAGCTTATATTTGTTGAATTTTTAATTTTCTTGGTGTTAGTCAACTAATTTTCATTTTTACTTTAGTAGACTATTTTAGTTCAATTTTTTAAAAACAATTTTGTTATAAAAAAAGAACAAGATTTTTTCTATATTTTGATGTGACACCACCAGGTGTCACACAGCAATTATCTTTTTTTCTTGCAGTAAGTTTTGTTTTGTAGTATAGTGTTGAAAGAAAAAGTTGGAACTATAAAAACCATCAAATTTTAATCAAATTAAAAAGTTAGTCAAGTTAACTTTCAAAGCAAATACTTAGAAAAAAGTTAGTGAATTAATTTTCATAGTAATTATATATAAATATTTAAAAAAAAGTTGGTTATTCAACTTAAGCCAAAACAAATGTTTAGTCAAAGATTTAGAAAAAAGTTTTTAAAAAAAAGGTAAAAACTTTTTTTTTGTTGCTAGTTAGCTAAACTATTAGTTAATTAAATTAAATTACTCAACTAGTTTTAGTAAAACTTAAACTAGCATAAGTAAAAAACTTCAAAACGTCAAAAAGTTTTTGTTTTTTCATTTTATCATTTTTCAAAATCATAAATTCAAAATCACAGTTTTGAAATTTCTTGCTCAAAATCATAGTTTTGAAATTTCTTGCTTTGTCGTTTGCTAAACTTCAACTTCATGTTTATTGATTTTCTATAATAAGAATTGAGTCTTGTGATCATCATTTTACATACTTGTGACTTAACATTGTAAAAAACACCAGATTTAAGAGCTTTGGAATTAGTTTTGTTTTTTTCAAGGCTCTGGGACTGAGACAAATTCAAAAATAAAAAAAAACTGCCTTGAGGTAACCATAAACAAAGTTTAGGTAAACAACATTTATGTAAATAACATTATGGTAAACATTGTTCATTTGAATAAGGTGATATATTATAATTATATTATAATAAGGTGATATATATAATTATATTAATATTATAGATAGATAGATAGATAGGTAGATATATATATATATATATATATATATATATATATATATATATATATATATATATATATATATATATATATATATTATATATAATTATATTAATATTTTATATATTATATATATATATATATTATATATATATATATATATATATATATATATATATATATATATATATATATATATATATATATATATATATAATAAGGTGATATATTATAATTATATTATAATAAGGTGATATATATATGAGTAATACTTTATTAAATAACATTTAAAATTGGAACATAGGAAACAATTTTTATAGGTAGGTTGACATTTTTCTGTTGTTGTTGTTGTTTATAATTATGAAAATAAATTTTTATAATTGTTTTCATAAATTTAAAGTCATGTTTATGATTTTTTATTTATATTAGCATTAAACAAGGCTCATAAACACATGGAAGATAGTCATGTTGCTGCTTATACAGCAATTTTAATAGGCTTGCTTCTTGAAAATAACGAGGTACTTTTCTTTCTATTTAAAAATAACTCTGTACTATTTTTTTTTTCTCTTTAATTCATCAACCATATTTATTATAAACATCTTGTCTATTTTAAGGCAAACCAAAAGCTTGTACATGGTTTGTTACCAGATGGAGACTTCAAGCTTATGCAAGGGATGCTTGTTAAAATTCTGTCATTTATGAAATTCACAGTATGTATTTAAGTATTTTTCATTTATTTTTAATTGAGTAAAATGGTTTTGTTTTTTGTTTTAATATTTCAAATTTAGAAAATGATATATTTTTTATTTTTAAGCATATTTATAATTGATATATTATATTGTATTAACAAGATTTTATGACATCTAAAATACACACTGGTATTTCAGTCAGGTCTGGTTGTCCTGCTACTGGTAACATGTAACCCAGTACAACCTGTTTCATGTCCTGCTGACTTGTAGGATAGACTTTTTTAGGCAAAGGCTAGAAGATACCAACTCTAGCTTAACCCTTGTGCCTCCTTCTTTGGGATTCTTGGTTGAGTAAAGGCTAGAGATGGTGTTTCGATAAAAATAATCATCTTAGGCAGATATTAAATGTATCTGGTTACTGTCTAGTAGAAGGCCTCCTAGGCAAAAACTTAAGAGGTAAACAGATTGTATCTGTTGACCAGCTTTGCGCCCCTTCTTCATCTATTAGGCTGGCGTAGAGGTATTTATCATATATTGTTTCCAGTTTAGGATGTTGAATGAAATATCTTTCTGACTAATTGCATGGGTTTTGGCTATGTCTCTGTTTTTACTACTAAGCAACTCATTCTATTATCTCTTAATAAGGGTTCAGCTCTAAAACTCAGTTTGATGCTGGCTGGTAGTCAGGTTTCCCAAACTCTGTGGTAGCTCTCAGAGAGGCTGATTCCATTAACAGCTGTAAAATATCAGAGTACTAAAAGTGGGATGTTGCGCATGGATGGTGTCCCTGTTTGGACTTTTGGTGTGCGTTGTCAAGGCCACATTTGGAGTCCTTTGTTACAGCTTAGGGTTTTTTAATAGTAATGAGGCAATTGCTTGGACTATTAGTGTACTGAGTACTATCTGTGCTTTGAGTCGAGTTATTTAACTAACTTAAAAAATGAATAAAGTATCTAAAACTTTTAAAGACAAAAAACCATTGTCATTTAATATTTGTGGACTTCAAAGTAACTATTCTTCCATTTAGTCTTACCTCTTGCAAAGTTCACCAGACCTAGTTGTTCTTTGTGAGACTTTTAACTGTCTCATTATGTGATCTTAGTGTTGATAGTTATTTACCTTTAATTCATTAAGACTCCATTAGTCACATGTTTGGCCTGAGCATTTATATTCATAAGAATTCACTCATTTTTGGGAAACTAGGTTTGAATCCACAGAATATTCATTTATGTACTTTCATTTAGCATCACTTTACTATATCACCTTTCTCTTTGCTCTATATCGTTCTCCTTTATCTCAAGATTGCAGTCTATTCGATGTTATTTCTGCTCAAATTGATCAAGCCTTTCCTCTTTATTCTTCAGCCAATATCATTGTTATTGATGACTTTAATGCTCATCACATTAAATGGCTCCTGTGACTCTGCAGGTGTTAAGGACTACAACTTTTGCCTATCTCAATCTCTAACAATTAAATAACTCACTTTTCCAACTCACTTTCCAGACAATTTGAATCATTTACCTTCTCTACTTGACTTATGTCTCATTTCTGATCCTAGTCAGTGCTCAGTTTCTCCACATTCACCCTTAGGTGCTTCTGATCATGATTTGAACTCTCTAAAACTATTATCTCATTCTTCATCATCAGAATCCCCCTATCATCGTATCTCTTACAACTACCTTAAAGCTGACTGGGACTCTTTCTGTGATTTTCTTTTTGATGGCCTTTGGGTAGTTTAATATACTTTCAAAACTATTTAATAAGTACTTATCAAAGTCTTGTTTTCCTGCTCTAAAGAGCTAGCGTCTCTTGTGCCATCTAAAATTTATTCTTATGTTACTCGTCATTCAATTAAGTCTCATTCTTTTACTCTGACTGTTCAAAAGTGCTTCAACATTTATATATGTATGTCATTTGTATGTGCGTGTGTGTGTGTGTGTATGTATATATATATATATATATATATATATATATATATATATATATATATATATATATATATATATATATATATATATATATATATATATATATGTATATATATATATATATATATATATATATATATGTATATATATATATATATATGTATATATATATATATGTATATATATATATATATATATATATCAGGCTTGGTCGGGAAGCGGGAGCGATCGCTCTTGATTGCTGACCACGTAAATAATATTTAGTTGCGAAAAGCTGGCCAGATTTTTTAACCGTTTTGAGATTATTTTAAAAAGCAAAAAAAAAAAAAAGCGACCAAGATTAATTGGACCGATGAGAGACAGTTACAAAAAAAAAAAAAAAAAAAAAAAAAATAGGCAAATAAAATATCTTTAAACGCAAAAAAACTTAAAGCTAAATAAATTATATTTAGAACAAATATTTTCGAAACATCGCTCTTTTACAATTTTTTTTATAAAATTAAGCAATGTTTTTTATATAAAGTAACAATTTACGATTGTTTAAAAGGGAAACAAATATTCTTTATTTAACTAAGTTTGCAAGTTTTAGTTTTACTTAAGCTTAATTTATTTTATAAATAAAAAAGTTTATTTTTTTATTACCTATTTTATGTTTCGCGTAGTTTGAAAAGTTTAACATATTTAAAGCGATTCTTCTTAGTAAGATAAACAAATGAAATAATTAAATCATTGAATTACTATAGGAATTAAATTATCAAGATAGAAATCAACTAAAAAGGTTAAAAATACTTAATGACCAGGAAGCGAAACTGCTTTACAATATCGCTGATGATGTTTAGTGAGTGGGCTTTTTAATTTTAATTAGTATTTAAAGCAGCAAAAAGTATAACGAGTTTTAAGAATGGCAACTTAAATGAAAATAATTAGAGTTAGTAAACCTATATCTAGAAACTTTTCTTTAAATCTAATTATTTGCTATATATATTTGTGTTCTGTTGTGACCTCAGGCGCGATGTTTGTTCATCCGCGACTTACTTTGTATGCGTTGTTTGTGTTTAGTAACTATGTTTGTTATATAATTAGTTTTATTAACTTTAACGATTATAACTTCATTGAAAACGCAATTATTTTTGTAAGTCTTTGTTTAAATCATGAAAATTGCTTTAAAAGATACATTGCGATAAAAAACAAATACACAAAATTACATTTACATAAAGAATACAATCTCTTTTAAAATGAAAATAGGAATATACTAGTAAAATCTATGATTTATAATAAACTTTTACAATTTTGACAACTTAATTAATATATATTTAAAACATTTATTTTTGTAAACAAATATTAAATATTTTTAAAACAATTTATGCTAGAAATCTCAAAACGTAACAAATCGTGAATAATACAAATTCTAAAACATTTCAACAGAATACTCTATAACTTTATTTCGCTTAATCAGCGTATTTTTTGAACCAATAGAATTAGTTTGTTCGTTAATTTGGCGGGTTTTTAGTGTTTGCAAATATTCTTTTTATTCTTGCGCTCAAAGATGTTTTGAGAACATTCAAGTTTTTTATGTTTCCATGTATGTCCGTAAAACAAAATTTTTTTGTTTCGTACATAAACTTAAATGTTCTCAAAACGACTAAAAAACCTGGCCAGTTTTACGCAACTAAATATAATTTCCGTGGTCAGTATTCGAGAGCGATCGCTCCCGCTTCCCGACCAAGCCTGATATATATGTATGTATATATATATATATATATATATATATATATATATATATATATATATATATATATATATATATATATATATATATATGTATATATATATATATATATATATATATATATATATATATATATATATATATATATATATATATATATATATATATATATATATATATATATATATATATATATATATGTATATATATATATATATATATATTAATGTTTCAACAAGACAAAAATAAGTACAGTTTTTGTAAAAACCATTAAATTTTATTAAGGAAACTAATTAAACTTTCTCTTTTTAAAAAAAAACTGCAAAATTGCATATAATAGACTAGATTGTTTTAAAAAATATGCAGAAGTTTTTATTATAATTTTTTTTTTCTAATAAAAACATTCTGAATATATGTATTTTGCCCTAACTTTGATGATATCACAGTGTGTTTTATGAATTCTTTTATATATTTTGCTCTATGTTTTCTGTAATTCTGTAAGATGTGGGTTCAGAACAATGAAAATTTGCTACAGAACCACCAGCCATGCTAGTGGAGTGTTATGCTCTCTCCCACTACTGTATGAGCAGTACACTTGAAGATATTTCAAGGAAAAAGAATTTTGAACATTTGTAATCTCATTAAAATCTTCAAGTTAATTCATTATCTGTTTCCTTGCAAATTTTGTTTCTAGCTAAACTAGATGTACTTAGATAGCCTTAATCATTCTTTGATGGCCAATCATAATCGTTCTTAGATAACTTTACTGGTAAGCTATTATTTAACTTTGGTGTGGTTCTTTTACTTCATTCTATGGAATACTTGTTTTGTATCGTAAGCCCTTAGATCCATTAATTTTGACAACCTAGACATTAGAGTAGGTGAGTAAAGAACTTTTATGACAACATATTAAAATTTTTATTCAAAATGATTTTAATGAATTTATTGTAAATTTGTAAACATAACATTTTGGTTAAATATAACATTTTGGAATAAACTGTATTTATATTTTTGTTATATGTTTAAATGCAAAATTTAACATTATAAAATTGAAAAACAAATTCACAAGCACGCTGATTGTTTGTTTTTTTTTAATTAAAATTTGATAATTTATAAGTTAAACTTAAGAAAAAAAGCAAATCAAATCAATGATTCTTTTTTTTTTCAAAAACATGCTACACTTAACATTGTGATAAACTTCATTTTACTATTAATATCATTTTCTTTAAATGTAATTTTTTCTCTCTGTTTTCAGAATGCCACTAATGAACGTGGTTTGAAAGTTATTGAGCGCATTATTGAACTTTATGATACCTGTTCTAAGAAATTTCCAAGACATGAAAGCAGCTTATGATACCTGTTCTGAGAAATTTCTAAGACATAAAAGCAGTTTATGATACATGTTCTAAGAAATTTCCAAGACATGAAAGCAGTTCTCAGAAATTTCCAAGATATATAAGCAGTTTTAAGGAGTTTTCAAGACATGAAAGCAGTTTTATGAAATTTCCAAGATATGAAAGCTGTTCTAAGAAATTTCCAAGACATGAAGGCGTTTTTAAAAATGAAGGAACTTGTAAATAATCTTTATAGTCACATTTTTTGTGTTATTCTTGTTTAGAGAATTTTTTTATTTTTATTACAAAAACTTTAAAATTTTTTTGTTTGTTTGTGACTTTTTTGTTTGGAATATTTTTTATTTTTATTACAAAAACTTTTTCAGTTTTTTAAAAAGTTAATCACTGAATAACTTCTAAAGAACTAAAGAATCGTGTCATTTGTAACTTTTCTAAAAATTAATTACTTCTTCACATCAAATTTAACTGTTTTAAGTTAAGTTGTTATTCTTTTTTGAATTTAAATTGTTTTTTGTTTGAATTTGAAAAACAACTAGCAAGTTAAGTTGTTATTCTTTTTTAAATTTAAAATATTTTTTGTTTGGATTTGAAAAACAACTAATAAGTTAAGTTTATTCTTTTTAAATTTAAAATGTTTTTTATATGGATTTGAAAGGTAACTAATAGTTGGAAAAACTGTTTTTTAAAATGTTAAATATTCAGCAATATTACCCAGAAAACATTTTTTGATAGTAATATAGTTTTAAGTTTAATTTTTAAACAAATAGTTTTTAGTTTTTTTTAAATTTAGACCTGAGATAAATTAAAAAGCTTTTATGATGGAACTTCCTGTTGAAGCTGGAACAAAACGAAGATATGATTTTGGCGGCAATGACATAATGGAAGTAACTGGGTTTGGTCAATTAGTGCCGGTAACAAAAAAGCAAAAAGATGAAGTTGCTTTGCTAAATGAACAAGCAAATTTGACTACACTTGTAAATCAGTTTAATTTTTTGACATTTTATTTTTATTTTAATAAATTCAGTAGTATTTGGTATTTTTATAGTCAGGAAACTTAATAGTTAAAAATTTATTCAAGTTATTTTAAAACTTGTAAATTTAACGTGTTTTTTTTTCATTCTTTAAGCCAAGATCTTCAAATTTACAAGCTCCAATCATGCTTTTGACAGGTCATGCTGTAAGTATTTTTTTAAAAGCTATAATTAGGTTTTTGACAAGTTTTTTTTTTTTTTTTTTGCCTTAAACATGATATTTATTTCAGATTTTGAAATTTCTTTTTATAGGGAGAAGTGTTTTGCAGTCGTTTTCATCCTTCTGGGCAGACCTTAGCATCTGCTGGATTTGATCGTTTGATACGTAAGAATTTTTAAAGTTTTAAAAGCACCTCAAAATACTTAATAATCATTTATAAGAACTAGCTGTCGTGACTCGTACAATATGGGTCAAGGTAAATCTGTTCCACACCCGACTATATCTAAACTTTTTTTATTTAAAAAGCAAAAGATGATACAGAAAACAGTTCACAGGTCCTAGTTATGTTAAATAAGTTAGCTCTATCGGTTTGATATTATTTATAGAAACTCTCCTGTAAAGAATATATACATACGAAGTAATAATTTCAAAGAGAAGCAAATATAAAATTAAAATGCAAAAAACAAAAAACACATTTTTCTTGAGATAAAAAAAAATACAAAAACACTTTTTCAAAAATAAAATTACAAAAATTATACTTTATAAAGCCCTGTCAAAACGGGTAAGATGATAATTACGTACCACAACTTGTGTGTGTGTATATATATATATATATATATATATATATATATATATATATATATATATATATATATATATATATATATATATATATATATATATATATATATATATATATATATATACTTATTTTGCTCTCTTTACTTCAATAAATTTTAGTTTATGACAGAAAATAAATCAATTTAAAATTCTTGATTTTTGGTTAACAATTAACTATACTAATTTACTTTAATTTTGTTTACATAACTAAAGTATCTTTAACATAGGTACATTTTCGTAACATTTCTTCCATTGTTTTTGGAGGCTACGATTAAAATATTTAAGACTTAAGGCTGTAATAAAATTTTTTATTGATAAATATTTTTAAGGCCTCTCATTAAGATTTCTTTATAAAGCAAAGGAAGACACAAAAACTGGTCACGTTATATCATATAAGTTGGTTCTATTTGTTTGACATTTCTTATAGAAACTTTTCTGCAATTCATAACATATTCTTTCAATTAAACTGTTTTTAATACCGGTTTTCTCGAATTATTAAATTATTATAGTTTTTATTTGTACCAAATCTTGGTATAAAAACATACTAAATGGGAATGGAAATCTAGATCTGTAATCGCCTAGGTAATTAAAGTGTAATGGAAAAATATAAAATCAAAGAAAAATGGCCAATATGTCCATACTAAAATTATTTCAAAGAGAAAAATATAAAAATTTATGTGAGAAACAAAAAACATTTTTCTTGAGATAAAATTAGAATTTTTTTTTGTAAAAAAAATTCTATTACATAAAAAATATCAAAAGTATTTATAATAGCAACTTAATAACATTGTTTCATTATTCTATAGATTTTAGTAAATGCTACAAATTAATGACGTAACTTTGTTATAGCTTTTAGAAAATGATCAACATTCAGAACATTTCTTAAATTATTCTATGTAGGAAAATTTTTAAAAATCAGCCATAAAGAAAGAACTCGATGTAAAAATGGAACAAAATTATTATTTAAAACACTTTTTACACATTAATTACAAATTAAAGTGTAATGCACTCAGTTTATTTATTTGAAAACTCAAAAAATATAAATAAGTAGATAAGAAAAAAGAAACTTACTTTTCATTTTACTCATTTTTATCGAAAGACACCAATGTGAAGGTGAGCTAAGTCTGTTACCACAAAACATCACAACAATTAATAAATAGCATAAGATGTAACAGTAAACTCTAAATAAATCTAAATAAATCTAAGATGCTACAATAAACTCTAAATAAAACCTCTAAGGAACCAAAAAATTAGCTGTTTTGAGAATATTAGAGTTATTGAGAGTATAATCCATTAATAAAGGCTCAACTGGAATATCAAAATTAGTGTAAATTATTGAGGTTTATCGAGTTATCCTCTCATTCACTGGTGCTGTATGGGGTACCATCTCTTCATCTAAAGGTAGGATGGTCTTTTTCATATCTACCCAAGCAAAAGAAGGCCCTGTGAAAGAGGACCAGGATGCTGGGAGCAATATAACTGGAATGCCACGTTTGTCCCACGAGTCTGAAAAATATATATTTATAAATATAATTATCTACTGGGATGATACTAACAAAAAATTAAATCAATTTAATAAATCAAGTATAAGCGAGTACAACAACTTATTTACTTTTCTCACTTGACTTATTACATTAACTGATTAAACCAGAAGACACATCTCTAGCTATATTAAAAACTAAAAATTACAATAAAAGCAATCAATCATTGTAATATAAATTAATAATTGGCAAGTACAACAACTTACTTATTGTATTTGAAGAAGCAGCAGCTGGAGTTATATAGAAAAATTAAAAATACAATAAAACCAACCAATCAATGCAATAAGTCAAGTATAAGTATAACAACAACTTACAGATAACTGTGGAAGCTGGATTCGATACTATACGATACAAACAATCAATGTAATATTGTCTAACAAAAGTGAGTACAACTATACCAAGCATCCTTACTGGTTGGAATCTTCAAAATATATCAATATTTTATTAATAAAAGCTTGAGAGATATATCTAAACTCGCCTGGGGTCATCTCTTTCATTTCGACAACAATTTATCTCAGCTCATCTAGGCTCATTTCTTTCATATTAACAACAATTTATCTCAGCTGCCTAAGCTCATCTCTTTCATTTCAACTCATCTCGCCTAGCATGGTTTCTTTCATTTCTACAAAGTCTAATTATTTCACTTCTTAAATTATCAGACATAATTAAGCATCATGTAAGTGTGTAAAAATCATGCTTAATATAATAAAATTTAAACTTTTAGTTTTCTTTCTTAAAGTTACCTAAAATATAGTGTAAGGAAATAAAACTGAGCATGATATAATAATCTAAATACATTCTACCTCTACTATTAGTCATGTTTGAATTTGATGTTTTAAAATTAGATGTTTTAAAATAATATAGCAATGCGTAAAAATAACATATTTCTATCAAGAGCTTAAACTAAAGTTATAAATAAATTGAAATAATATTTTTAAATGAGTAATGTTGTATATTTAAGGTAGTTGTTATTAATTATTGACAAAATATTATTAGTATTTAATAAAAATAAAAAAAAGCAGCAGCGTTAAATTAAGCATTAATTATAAGCGATTATGTCATTATTTATTGTAATAAAAATGTTTTTGTAAAAATATTTTCATTGTACATAGAAATATTTTTTAGAAAGACTTTTTTTTAATTTTACTGCTCTTATAAGTATTAGAGGTCATTTGAGTGGTGGTAATTAATGTTAAAGGTTGTTTGGTTAGTTGTAATAAAAAGTAAATTGTCAGATCTTATAAAAGTCTTTGGGAGATGGAGGACTCTCTGAAACCAATTAAGGAATGAAGTTAATTTTTGTGTTATACAAGCTCACTTTTTATGTTATACAAATTCACTTTTTTTGTTATAGGAATTCAGTTTTTGTGTCACACAAGGTCACTTTTTGTGTTATACAAGTTCACTTTTTGCAATATACAAGTTCACTTTAGTGTTATACAAGCTTACTTTTTGTGTTATACAAGTTCACTTTTTGTATTATACAAGTTCACTTTTTGTGTTATGTAAGCTCACTTTTTGTGTTATATAAGTTCACTTTTTGTGTTATACAAGCTTACTTTTTGTGTTATACAAGCTTACTTTTTGTGTTATACAAGCTTACTTTTTGTGTTATACAAGCTTACTTTTTGTGTTATACAAGTTCACTCTTTGTGTTATGCAAGCTTTTTGTGTTATACAAGCTTACTTTTTGTGTTATACAAGCTTACTTTTTGTGTTATACAAGCTTACTTTTTGTGTTATACAAGTTCACTTTTTGTGTTATGCAAGCTTACTTTTTGTGTTATACAAATGCCATGCCCACAGTTTATATTTTTATATTTCACTACAGTTATACCAAGTTTCTTTGGTGTAACTGTAGTGAAATAGCAATAATTGTTAAAAAAAATTAATTTAAAATCACAAATAATTTAAAATCACATTTAAATTTAAATTTTTAAAATTTTTTTATTTTTTTGTAAGATTCAAAATTATATATAGTATATATGTAAAAATATTTAAATTAAAGAAGAACCTATTGAGAATAGTTTAGAATAAATTTATATTCAGAAAGGTACCAATACATAACTATTTATAATGTATATGTTTTATTCTAAACAAAGTTGTAATAGTTGTTAAAATAGCTTTTTTTTAAAAGAGGTATTAACCCCCCTAGAAAATTTATTAGTTGGCAAATTCAGACACTTGAGTTGGCAAAAGTGAATCTATAATTGGCAGTCAGCAAATGTTAACCAGCGGGGACTTTTTTTTTTTAGATCTTAGCTGTTAAAAAAATATTTCTGGGCCTTACTTGGCAAGTAGCAGGTACTTCACCTGCCCCCCCCCCTCCCTTTAACATGTTTTCAGGATGGCCCAGAAATTACAAATATATTTGAGAATATACAAATATCAAATTCACAAATATACAAATATATTTATAATGTACAAATAGGCAACTCACAAATATACAAATATATTTATAGAATATATAAATAGTCAACTCACTAACATACAAATATATTTATAATATACAAATAATCAACTCACAAATATACAAATATATTTATATAATATACAAATAGTCAACTCACAAATATACAAATAGTCAACTCACTAACATACAAATATATTTATAGAATATACAAATATTCAACTCTATTCCCAATCTAATAAAAGAGCAATTTAAGTCTTAATTGTTTTGAAAATCCTTGAAAATGTTTTTTATTCAAGCCTAATCGTTTGGTTGCTTTGTTTATTTGTTTTTTTGATTATATTGAACATGATCTGTCAAATGTACAATAATCTTGTTCAGCCCCTAAAGATGATTTTTATAAACTAATTTGTCATTTTATACAAATGCATATCATTTTGGAATATAAAAAACCTTTAGGAGTCTGAGAACACCAATTCTTTGAAAAAATAAATTTTTAGAATAATGCATATACATTATAAACAGTTCTTAATACATTCTTATAGATTTATGGAATGTTTATGATGACTGCAACAACTTTGCAATATTAAAGGGCCACACTGGAGCTATTCTTGATTTGCATTATACTCCTGATGGAGAGTAAGTTTTTATTTACCAGAGTTAATGTTTTTATTTTTGTTTGATGTGTATATAGTTATAATTTTTCTTTTAAATAGAACTTTAGTAACTTGTTCCTCTGATAAAACAATTGCATTATGGGATTATGAGACTGGTATTAAAGTTAAAAAGTATAAAGGACATGCATCTTTTGTTAACTCATGTTGCCCTGCTCGTCGTGGTCCTGAAATTGTAATTAGTGGATCTGATGACTGTACAATAAAGGTATCCATTGTTTAAACAACAGTTACATAAAATAATTTAAAGAACTAAAATTTAAATAAAAACAAATGATTAAACACAACATCGGGTGTCTTCTTCATCGGGTGTTAAGTTATCTTCTTGATCCTTAATATATTTTTTGATCATTGAGAATTTATTAATGCACAACCATTAATTGAAAATGAACAAAAAATTTATGTTTTAAAAGAAGAATTTTATTCAAAAATAGGAATGTGCAGTGTATTTATAATTTGTTGAATAATGCAAAACATCATAATAGTTGATGATAACTTTTGCTTATCATGGACTTATTAAGTCCATTTTTATTTAAATTTTTAAGTAATAATAAGAAGGAAGTGAAGAGCTTTTTCCATTCTTTTTATCTAAATGGCCATAAAAGGTTTTTGCTTTGAGTATTTGAGTATATGCGGTAGTGGTGTAGTGGTAGAGCGCTCGCTTCATAAACGAGTGGTTCCGAGTTCGATCCCCACCACGTCCCTGGCAGTACCGCGCTCAACTCATTTCTCCGCGCAGCGGCCTTGTTCGTCAAGGTTCGTGTTTCGGAGTTATAGAGTTGAGAGAGGGTTATAGCCACGAATAAGTAGCCTCCTTGTCTGTAGTGGCCTTCTCGGCCTTGAGGAGGTGAATTAAAATAAAAATAAAAATAAAAAAAAATTTAATTATAAAAACTGAAATTAGTAGTATAAAAATTGTTTTTAACTTTTTCAGATCTGGGACAGACGGTTGAAAACATCAGTACAAACATTTCAAAACACGTATCCTGTAAGTAGTTTTCTTTTTTTTTTAAATATATTTTCAATGATAAAATTAATAACAAATTTTTCTACATTTTCTAGGTAACAGCAGTTTGTTTTAATGATACAACATCACAATTTATGTCAGGAGGAATCGATAACGTTATAAAAGTTTGTTTTTTGTATTTTAATTTCTCTAATCAAATTATCAACTTCACAATCAAAGTCACAATCATTCACAATTAAAGCAATTAAATAGCTAATAATCAAAATTGCATTAAATTTTCATTTAACTTAATAGAACTTATTTATTATTATTATTTTTTGGAGCAATTTTTTTTTTAAATTTAAAAAGTTTGAAAATAAAATATTTGTGCCAACAATACTAGGAAGAATGTCAAGTATTGTTGGCACAATTCTTTGAAACGAATTCCAATTAATTGTGTTTTTTTTACTATAAAGTTTTTTTGTTTTTTTTTTGTCTTTTTTAAAACAAATTTGTTTGAAATTTTTCAGGTATGGGATCTACGGAAAAATGACATAATGTTCAAAATGCAAGGACATACAGACTCTGTAACTGGATTCCGTTTAAGTCCTGATGGTTCATTTCTTCTTTCTAATGCTATGGACAATACTGGTATGCATGCCATTACTAATGATCATTTTTAGTTTAGCTTTTTTAGTTGATCCTTCATTTTATATGATTTAATTTATTAAATAATATAAAATGAATTATTAAAAAATTTTATTTTAAATTTTGTTTACTTGTATTTTATCAAAAATTTGTTTTAGTGCGTGTTTGGGATATCAGAGCATTTGCTCCTGTTGAAAGATGTTTAAAAGTGTTTAGTGGGATTACTCATAATTTTGAAAAGGTAAAAACTAAATTTTTTTTTGTTGTATGAAAATTTTTATATGTATTTGTTGTAATTATACTAATTTATACTAAATATTATAACTTATACTAAATTTTGTAGTTGTATGAAAATAATTCTGTGCATTTAAGAGAATTTCGGAGAATTTGCTACTCTACACAGAGCCAATAATTAGGTTGTTATTAAAGGTTTTTTTTATCAAATAAATTGTAGTTCAGAACTATATAAGATTAAAAAAGGCAAAAAAGCCACTATGTAGAATTAAAGGCCAATAAGTGTGTTATCACCATTATTTAAAATATTCAAATAAGCAGTTTTACATAAAATTGAAGAAAATCTTGATGATATTGGAGTCATTCCAATCAATCAATTTGACCTCAAATTGGGTGCAATGCAAAACATACTAATTTTAAAGTTATTAATATGATAACAGACTGTTGTTATAGTTGCTATAGAAACCAAAATAAAGTTGTTGCAGTCATTTTAATTGGTGTAAAAAAGCTATTGACTGCTGCCTATTTGAATGGACACAGTCCATTCAAAATTAAATACCCATTCAAAAAATGGACACAGTTAATTCAAATGGAATTTATTATTTAACTTTATTTACTAACTCATTCTAAAATATAACTTTTCCAGCAGATATGCCAACCAAATAGAAAAGGAATAACTAATTAAGAAAGGAATTTTGGAATCCAAAATTCTGTTCTTATTTGGTTCAGTGTTTCCTTTAAACCACTGTGCTTAAGACTTTCATGACAATGTAAAATAATAAATTCAGCAAAATGACTTTCATATGAAAGAAAAATTGGAAACAAAACTATTCTAGGTTTTAAAGTAACATTAGAACACTTTTTGTTCTCATTTAAAAAATATCTTAGATGTATACAACATCTAAAGCTTTTAAACTTGCTTTACTAATACCAAAGAGTTCTAACTGCATCACTATTACCATAAAGTTCCAACTGCATTTAATTAGCATTCAATTTTGAAACTAGTACCACAGAAATAAACTGTTCTGGACCTAATTCCTTATAGCAATCTTGCATATTTTTAATGAATCATCAATTTTACTGTCCCATTCTTTTTTTTAGATAAACAAATGTGATTTTTTTCTTCTTTTGAATAATTTTTTTATGTTAAATTTATAAGCAAGTCACATAAAATTCATTTATATATGACCTCAATCCTAATTTAAATATTATCTGATAATATGAATACGCTAATTTAATATTATTATTATTAGTGGAGTTACGTCATTTTCAAGGCTTTTCTATTTTAAAGTAGTTTCTAGGCTTTTCTATACCCGGTTTTTTTTTTAATTTTATTTACTAACAGCGCGTATTACGGGTTGCTTACTGCTAGTTATTATTATTCTGTGATCAAAATAAATACAACAAATTTATTTACAAATACAATAAATATATATTTATAATTTGATGGTGCTATGGTGCTACATCATCTATGCTGACAAATATAAAGACGCAGATGCTGCAGACAATACAGCAATTGTATCTGTAAAAGTTACTTTCTTATACTTTCTTTCAAAGCCTTGACTGATGGAGCATTCATTGCTGCTTGCAAAAGTGCATTCCATAGAGTGACAACTCTATTTGAAAAAAGTCTCGCTCTTCACACTTTCTTACTAGTTGGCATTCTAGTTTATGGTATGTCCTCTCTTGATATATTGAATGTTTTTGTAAGGTGTAGAGGTCGAACAAGTTTGAACGCACCAATATAATTAAATTATGTAAATTTATGTAACTCTAATATTTTTATATGCACAGTTCAATGAAATAAAATTAAAAAAAAAAAATAGTTTATTATTGTAATTTAAAATATTCTCTGGCTGTCCGTAATAACACTATATCTAGTTTTGCTTCCCTGAAAAATAAATATATCAGAGACAGTGTGTCTCTGATATATTTATTTTTTACTTCTTCTTTGAGACAACAAATTTGTAGTAATAAATGTAACAGGTTTAAATTTATTTTATTTAGAATCTCCTTAAATGTGCTTGGTCTCCTGATGGTAGATATATATCAGCCGGATCAGCAGATAGGTATGATTCATTTTTGTTGTGTCAATACTTACGTTAAACAATAATTTATCATAAATATTTTAAAGTTTTTTGATTAGCATAAATTATTTCTTATAATTTAATGAATTGTTATATGTGTTATTTTGTTGTAAATATAATTATATTCATATCTAAATTATAATTATAAATGTATTATTTTATTCTTAAAATCAGGGATGCAGTGTTCCAAAAAAGATTTGAAAGTCGCAAAAAAAAAAGTCACAAAAACTTTTTCCTAGTTTTTTGTTATCCAGGTGTACTAAAAAAATAATAAAAATTTATGGACTACTAATGGGAAAAAAATTAAGACTTTTAGGTAAGAGGAACTATCTTTTTTTGAACCCAGAGTCATTAAGTATAATGGCGGCAAGGACTCTGGGCTTAAAAACAATAAGTTTCAAGTCATTCAATATTATGAATTTTTTCTTAATATTGAATGACTTGATCATAAGTCAACCAACGTGTTTAGAGCTTCTGGATAATACAGACCTAGAAAAAGTAGAAATATAACGCTGGAGTCCCTTTTGGGACTCCGCATCCCTGTTTAAAATATATATTTATATTTTATTCACCTTCCCAAGGTCAAGGGAGCCTTTTAATAAAAGGCCCCTTTGACCTTGGAAGGTCAAGGGGGGTCTTCATTAAAATTTATTCAAAATAAAAAAAAGTAACCTTTTAAGAAGGTTACTTTTTTTTATTTTGATTACAACTCTTTCTTAACTCTTTAAGTTCGAATTGCAAATCTTGATAAACTAGGCCGTTGTTTGAAGAAACAAGTTGAGTATGGTACTACCAGGAATGTGGTTGAAAGTAAACTCTGAACTTCTCGCATACAAGCACTACTGCATTTTTAAAACCATGTTTTTCACCAATTAAAGTTCTGGAAATCATTTACCATTTTGGATGTTCAACAGGATGGACCCACTGAATTTCAAAAATTTATACTATTGTGTTATTTTGACTAGTATTTAACTGCTAGTTGTTAATGCTTATAGTCAGTTATACAAGTATTCTGAAAAAGAAAAGTTGTAACAATTTTTTACGTGATAGAGTGCAAAGTAATAAAGCTTTAAAAATCTGATTTATTGTGAAAATAGCATAAACATAAAAAAAAGTAAATTTAAATTTATTTTGTCAAAAGAGCAATAATAGACAGTTCTATCCAATATTCTTGAAAACTTGTTGTCCTAATTGTTAACAACCGCCCCCTTTCCTTATATACCTAATATAAAAACAAGTAGGTAAGCAAAGAAGTATAAAATATATTTAAATTATTAAAATTTTGAAACCACATTGCTTTTATAGAAATCTTTATAGCATTAAAAAATCACAAGCTGAATATTTGTTGAGGTAAAAATCTGGATGATTGTACATTTAATCAAAATCAATATCCATTAAAAAGGTTTTTGAGATGAAATCTTTATTTTACTTTTCAAAAGTCTTTGATAACTGTCCTTGAGGACAGTTATCAAAGACTTTTGTTTTTACTTAAAAGCATTATTTTTGTGAATAATCAGGTGTAAAGTTTTAGTGGAAAAGTGTTACACACAACACATGTAACACATAAAAAAGTGCGTATCAAACATTAAGTAAATTTAATATGAAAATGTTATAAGTTCAATTAAATTTTTTTAAGTAAAGCTGTAAGCAAAAACATTAAACTTTTTTCTGATTTCTTACAAATTTATTACTGCTCTATTCTTGAAAAAGCATTATTTTTGTGAATAATCAGGTGTGAAGTTTTAGTGGAAAGGTGTTACACACAAAACATGTTACACAAAAAAGACTATAAGTAAATTTAATAATATGAAAATGTTATAAGTTTAATTAAATTTTTTTGATGCAGGTTTGTTTACGTTTGGGATACAGTTACTAAAAAGATTTTGTATAAGCTTCCTGGACATAACGGATCAGTAAATGATGTTGACTTTCACCCTTCAGAGCCTATTTGTAAGTGATTTTTACTTTATAAACTTTTTGTGTTTTGTCGTTGCAAGTAATCCAGCTAAAATAAAATAAAATTTAAAAATCGAAAGTAAAAACACAACCATAAAGTTAAAGGATATTGTTTAGAAATTTTGTTATAGGTATTGCTTAGCTTTTGAACGGTATCTAATTTAAAAACATTTTTTTTAGTAATGTCTTGTAGCAGTGATAAACAAATATATCTTGGTGAACTTTTTGCTGGATAAAGGACTTGAATTTCACCGTATTCGAAGCTATCATTAGTATTATTGAAAATAATATGCAGATGATGACAATATACTAAAATACATTTATGCTCATTTCATTATCAATTTCTCAAACAGTTTTTCAAGTTATATAAAATTAATTGCGAGATTTAACATTCAATGTTGATAAGTTAATACATTTAATGTCGCGTTTATTTGGATTTTAGATTTTACAATGTTCTCACTTTCAATTTTTTATTTATAAAGTGAATATGCGCATCTATGAAGTTTTTTATTGTTTTAAAATGAAACTTATAAAGTTGTTTAAATCTTATTTATCAGAGAAGATAGAAATAGAAACTAGAGTTAACAAAAAAACAAGAAGAGTTAAAAACGTATTCTAAACAACATCAGAAAGTGCCCACTATAAATGCTTGTTTGTCGGATTAAATATTAAAAGACGGTTACTGGATGACTTTTTAAATTCGCTATTTAAGCGAACTAACGACAAAACATTTTTATATAACAAACGACAATAGAATAACTTATGTAACAAAACTTTGCTAACAAAATATTTTCTTTGTGTAACGTCACAGAAACCAATTTTTAAATTGTAATTAAGGATTTTAATCTTTTATGTTTATAATTGTTCGTTTTTTTTATAAATTTTTTTTCACTTTATTTAAAACTAGATAAATTGGTTGCAATACTTCATTGTATTGAAGTTAACTTCAATACTAGTTTTGAATTCTTTATAAATATTCTAATAATGATAATATTTTGTCTGGAAGGTTTTGTTAATTAATTGTGTAGTTTAAATTGTTAGCTATTAAATAAATATATAAATTTAAATACAAGTAATTTATAAATCAAACAAAAATTAGGTATTTCTTAATAAAATCATTTTCAAACTGGGTTTAAATTTTTTTTTTTTTAATTGTCAAAACTTAAGGTACATTTTATTTAGCAAAATCCAAGGTATTCTAACCCATAGAAATCGTTTTTAAATTTTTAGTAAATTATAAACGTTTAGACATAAACAATTTTTATTTTAATAAAATAGAAAATCTAAACATGTTTAGATTTTCAACAAAACAAAATAATATACCTTGCAAATCATACTTGTTGTACCTTTTCAATGAATTTTTAACCTAATCTACTCATTAATCTATAAACTGCTGAAAGATTTAACTACAGAAGAATTCTGATAACTCGGATTTCTGAGCGGTATAATATATTGTTTGATTTTGCAAATGCCTTATTTAGGTGAAGCTCTTGATATAACGGACTTCTTTAAAACGTCCAATTTTCCAAAATTTTAATAGTTATCGAATGTTCTTCAATATTTAAATGTATTATCCAACTAACACACATACTTTGGTAAAACGTTAAAACAATGTTACGAGTTACGTTGGCACAACATCGGTCGCCAAACGTTTTTATATCGTTTTGGTTGCAAATGTGACGTCACCAAACAAAAATTCAACGTATAATGTTGCATTTTTTTTTTTTTTTAAACATCTTCGCTTCCAACAAGGTTGCAAGCAACTACTAATTAGAGTATGAAGTTACTGGAAGAGAGAAGATGAAGATAATAGAGCAAGATAACGATTGCAAATTATATGAATTAGGAAAGCAGGATGAAGGTAGCAAATTTCAAAAAACTGATGTTCGAGGAAAAAAACTAGAGGAATAAGAGTTTTTGGAGCAGTTAGAAACAGTTATAGAAAAAGAATACGACTTAATTGAATGACGAGTACCACGAGAATGAATTTTAGTAGATGGCACAAGAGACGCTAGCTCTTTAGAGCATTGCCCATTATAGTATTTGTATAAAAGAGATAGAGAAGCAACATTACGACGATGTGATAATGGTTGAAGCTTGGCTGCAAGAGCAGGTCCAACTATATTTACAATGCGTTTTTGCACCTTGTCTAAAAGGGAAAGGGCATCATTAGAAGATCCTCCCCAGATATGGCAACAGTATTCCATACAAAGCCAAATTTGAGATTTATAAAGGTAGAAAAAAGAATCCGGAGTAAGAAACTGTCAAGCTCGATAAAGAGATGCAACTTTAGCAGATGCTAATTTTGCAACAGATTTGATATATAGTTTCTAAGAAAGATCAAAAGTAAGAGTTAATCCTTGAAGATGAAGGGTAGATGACTCATCGGATACATAACCGTTCATATATATAGGAGGGTCTAAATTGTTGCGAAAACGATTGGCTGCAAAAAATTGAGTTTTATCTGAATTAAGGTTCATCAAGGGGCCAAGGATTGAACCTTGAGGAACCCCTGAGGTTACAGAATAAAAAGAAGAGTGCTTTCCATAAAGAACAACTTTTATACTACGATTGGAAAGAAAGAATTCAATAATCTTAAAGATGTTTCCCAATACACCGTAACAAGAAGGCTTATGGAGAAGACCAGGATGCCAAACTTTATCAAACGCTTTAGAAATGTCAAGAGCAATGGCCTTAACCTCTCCACAATTATCTAATAAACGATAAAACCTATCGGTTATTATTGTTAGCAAATCAGCCGTAGAACGAGAGAATCGAAATCCATATTGTTGATCAGAGAGTAAGTTATTACTAATAACTTACTCTCTGGCTGATTTATTACTAATAACTTACTCTCTGATCATCAATATGGATTTCGATTTTCTCGTTCTACGGCTGATTTGCTAACAATAATAACTTCTAATAACTTATTAGATTCAAGATTAGAGATTAAATGTTTATAAATTAAAAACTTAAAAACCTTGCTTATGATAGGAAGAAGACTAATGACACGGTAGTTAGACAAGTCAGATCCTTCTCCAGAATTTTTGAAAATAGGGAATAACAGATACTGCTTTTCAGCAGGCTGGAAAACAAGACTCTGATAAACACTTGTTAAATAGTTTTAAAAGTAGTAAGTAAGACAACAGCTCCGGAGAACACTTCTGCTATACTATAACAGGTATTTTATCCAGGGCCACAAGTTGTAGAAGGGTCTAAGCAAGAAATCACTTTAGATACAGAAGCTAGAGTGATACGAATGTCAAACAATGGATCAACCTGTTTGAAGGCTATACCAGGTAGTACGTACTAGTAGAATCAAGATATGATATTGATGAAAAGTTCTTAGCAAATAATTCAGCTTTGTCTTTAGGTGAGGTGACAAAGTCTGAACCATACAGAGGTAATAAGGGCATACAGAGGTAATAAGTGCAAAGCTGTAATTCCAAGAGGTGGAATTACAGCTTTGCCGTTTTTATTGATACTAATAAAGATTCTCCAGAAGTCACGAGAGCCTAATTTTTGTGATGAAATACAAGATTCCGTGACCTGAGAATAGCAGGCTTTTGCAATAGATAAAACCTTTCTACAATGGTTCCTAGTAGTAATAAACAGACATCTGTTTTCTGGAGAATTGTTTTGCTGATAGATATGGAAGTAAGGTTTCGATTGGCAATTGCAGCAGCATAATGTGAGGAAAACCATGGAGAAAAGTGAGGCTTGACCAGGAATCGTCGAGAGGGAATAAAGAATTCCATATTCCAGCATGAATCCACGAAATTATGTAAGAAGCACATTTATCAACAGGAAGACGAAAGATTTTTAACCAAGGGCCATCACGAAGAGTCCCAGTCAACTTTAAGGTAGTTGTAAGATGTGCAATGATAGGGGGATTCTGATGATGAAGAAGAATGAGACACTTAAGGGTAAAACTGAGCACTGACTAAATAGTCACCAAATAGTTGTTATTTACCTAAGGGTAAAACTGAGCACTGACAATAATTAGAAACAAGACATAAATCGAGTAGAGAAGGTAGTTGATTCGGGTTGTCTGGAAAGCGAATTGAAAAGTTGATTATTTGAGATAGGAATTGAGAAAGGCAAAAGTTGTGGGCTTTAATGCCTGCAGAGTCACTGACACTAGAGCCAAGCCATTCAGTGTGATGAACATTCAAGTCACCAACAACAACAATATTGGCTAATGGATAAAGATAAAGGGCATGGTCAATATGATCAGAAATAACATTAAGAACAGTGCAGTCTTGAGATGAAGGAGAGCAATATAAAACAAAGAGAAAGGCGATAGAGTGAAGTGGGGCTAAACGAAAGCATATAAAAGAGTAGTCTGTAGATTCAAACCTAGTTTCCTGACAAATGAGTGAATTCTTACAAATGTAAATGCCTAATCCAAGCATGTGACTATTGGAGTCTTAACGAATTAAATTTTAAGTTGGCAAAGTGTATTGTTTTACGTTGGATAAACGTTATAATTAATATTTACCCGAATTAAATTTAGTAATTACTATATTAAAATTTTACATACGTATGTGTGTGTGTGTGTGTATATATGTGTATATATATATATATATATATATATATATATATATATATATATATATATATATATATATATATATATATATATATATATATATATATATATATATATATATATATATATATATATATATATATATATATATATATATATATATATATATAAGTTAGAAATTTTGCAATCTTTATAACTACTTGACAATTATTTATTAAAACAATCAAGTTTACACACGTTAATAATGTTTGTTTTGCTTGTGGTTTTGTATTTTGATATTTATGGAAGATTTTATTTAAAGTATATAATTTTGCACTTGCAACGTTAGGTAGGTAAAATATACAATTTTGCACTATCAATGTTGATTCATATATATTGAATCAATGTTAAATACATTGTATATAACAATGTTATATTCTTGTACTTCTTCTTAAACAATTTCTTCGGCTGTCAATGCTTTCCCATAATCAAAACATTGTCAAATGTTACCACGCATGGCCGACGTCACCGGTGGGGGCACGGGTACCCACACTCTTTTTCTAAAGAGTTTTTTTTTTTTTTTTTAGTAATTTAAAAGATGTAACGGACTTTTTTTTAGAAATTAAGGCAACTTCACAATATGTTTTTGCTCATAACAACCCGCAAAATTTCTAAATGAGTCTGACTTTTTATTTTTCGTTTTAACAATCATATGACTTCATAGGTTTCTAAAAGGAATTTGTTAGTTAGCTGCAGTTAGCCGACTCCTACAACTTTTACTTCTACTTTTTTTATCTTTAAAATTCATTTTTATTAGAAGTGTTTTATACAAACAAAGCACATATGGTGTTTTTTTTTTGTATCATGCCATTTTTTTTTTGTATCATTTAATTATTTTGATATATTGCAAATGCATTTGCGTTAGGATGCGTGCATCAGGAGGATCGTACCGAAAAGGTAATC